CCTACTAATAGGAGCATGCCTGAAATTTTGTGCTGCAAAAAAAGCACCATTAGGAGGGGAGGGGAGGGGAGGGGAGGGGAGGGGAGGGGAGGGGACACTCTGCACCACCATTCCACTCTTGCATACTCCTGCCTCAAAGACAGCCAGTGCATCTCCCACCCTATTTCGGTGGCAGCAGTGAGACTTTGGTGCAGGATAGCGTGGCCCTCAGATCACACTGAGAATTTGGCCATCTCTACCTTAACCCTTCAGCTTCTCTGGTAGTGTACTATGATAATGGGCTATTGTTGCAGCCTTCACTGATAATACAGTGGATAATGTTACTCCTGGAAATACTGGGGCGTCTAGTGAGTATATGAGGCTGGTGAAGCCCTGGGAATGTATAGTCTGCATGGATCCCAGTGCTGAGCTGTTACTGGATCTGATCTACAATAGCAGCCCTTCTTCTTGACACTGCCTGAAATCTTGAAGGAACCATGCAGAAGAGGCTTCACTAGCAGCTGGGAAGCCTCCAAGGTAAACTGTGTTCTTTAACTGGGTGTAAGAAGAGTTGGGAAGGCTTTAGGCCTCCTCACGTTCCTGATGACCTGGAGTTCAAAATTAACTGTACAGTTTAACCACATACAGTCAGCCCTCCTTATCCTTTTTTTTTTTTTAAATATATACCTTGCAAGAAGCAAACCTTGATTTTGCTATTTTATATAAGGGATACCATTTTACTATGTCATTAAATTTAATGGTACTTGAACATCCATGGATTTTGGTATCCATGGGGGGTTCTGGAACCAAACCCAAGCAGATACCAATGGCCCACTGTACTCTGACACAACCAATTAATTCAAGCCCAAGCCAAAGTGATCCCCCAGTTAGCTCATTTTACGTGAGCCCCCTTTTGAGCTGAGCCTTGATTTACAAAGTTCATTTATAAAGGTTACTTTGAAAAACATAGATGTCAGTCACTTTTTTTTTTTACAGACTGCACTGAATTTCACATTACAGTTACATAGATCTTCTTCCTTAAAATTCTGATTCCCACTCAGGCTGTTAAAAGCAAAAACAAACATTTTTGTTCTGCTGAGACTAGTCACATACCTTCCTGAAAGGATGATTTGGGGAGCCATCTATTGCTCTGCTTTGGTTGTGCAAAAGTTGCCGAGCATCTTGGATTGCTTTGGTTATAGCATCTCCCTCTCCAAGGAACCCTGATTATTTTAATAAAATAAAAATGATGTCACACAGTCAAGGGACAAGATGTTCTTGAAAAGATCCCCAGCTGTCAAAAAGTTCACAAAGATAAAAGTTTACAACTTCTGGCAATCCTATATCTATCTTTTAAAAATGCTCAGCTAAGCTCCTTAGAACCATCAAGAGAGTTTTGTGTCAGTAGAAAAAGAAATATTTAGGGTGAAATCTTTTCTTCCATTGGAGAATGTCCCAGAAGCCAAAGGATACTAGAGATCATCTTGGAAGGCGACAATGCTTTTGGTAACCTCATCTCTCCTACTTTGTTGTTGTGTGCCTTCAAGTCATTTCCAACTTATGGCAACCCTATCATGGGGTTTTCTTGACAAGTTTCTTTAGAGAGGGTTTGCACTTGCCATCCTGTGAGGCTGAGAGTGTGTGACTTGCCCAAGGTCATCCGGTGGGGTTCCTTGGACAAGTGGGGATTTGAACCCTGTTCTCCAGAGTCTTAGTCCAATACTCAAGTCACTACACCATGCTGGTTCACTATAGTTGTACAGTAAGAGCAAAAGGAAGGGATGTATTTTTTTGGGGGGGGGCTTTGAATCCTTCATATCCAAAGCCCCTTCACTCCCCGGATAACCTCTAAAATGAGGGGAGAAATACACTACTCCTGAATTTTGCTTCTGTTAGAAACAATAGGAGGGAATTTTTCAATAATTAAGAAAGTGGGGAGGGAAGAATTGCTCCTCCCCTCCATCCAACTCTGAGAAGTGCATGTCTGGTAGGGCTTAGGATGGTTTTCATCATGGATTTCCTTCTTCTGGCTCCACAGGGCCATGCTATTTTGTTGTTTTGTTCAATTTTCAGCAGTTTTCAGCAGTGAAACTGCAGATTTGTTCTCTATTGATGCAAAAATAAATCACTTGGCATCCATTTATTTGGAAATGCTAACACCACTTGGTTCACTTTAGACTGTAATTACTGCAGACTAGAATTCACTTTTCACTGCCTGAGTATATCAGGAAAGAGCAAATACGTAGTGCTCTTGAATGTGTGTCACTAGAATGGAAAGATCTTTTTGTTGGCATTTCCCTATTCACTAGCAAAACAAAAACTGTCATATAAAAGACATATCTATTTCTATTTTTAAATGATCAACAATGTCCTAGAAGGGGATACAACACATTTGAACTAAATGACATATTAAATCACATTATTTCATGACAAACCATTGGTGCAATACTAGTGCAGTATTGTCTATACTAACCGAGTGGGATTTTAGAATGAACCCTCCACAGCTTTACCTGTGGATGCTGGGGACTGAATCTTTTATATGCAAACCAGAGCTTAGAAAAATATGGTTTGAACCACAATTTCCAGAATCTCCATGCTGGCTGGAGAATTCTGGAAATTGTAGACCAAAAAGTAACTTTTCAAAGCTGATACAAAGAATGTGCTTCAAATGAGCTACAGCTTCTCCCTCTTTCATTCTAATGCAAGAGTAACAAATATGGGAGAATAACCCTAAACAGAATCTTGAAAAATGCTATGTTTGGGTCTTTTCTGAATTCAAGATAGGGTGAAATTATTCTTCTGAGAAATATCCAGACGGTAAAGTTAGGGGGGTTGCAGATTGCCAGAAATAGTGCAAATTGAGTCCACTTTTAGGGTTAGGGTTAGGGAATCATGGGAACTGTATTTTATTGTGGCACCAGAGCTCTCTGACAGAGAAGGCTCAATGTTTCAGGGGGGAAAAAATTCCCATTATTCCCTAGCACTAACCCTAACCCTAACCCTAAAAGTGGGCTCAATTTGCACTATTTCTGGCAGCCTGCAACCCTCCTAAGTCATGATTGGTTTCAATGTGGAACCACTTTTGTACTGGCTCTGAGGCAAAGCATGAAAAAGCTCCATGGTCTTACCCAAAGGAAGGCTGGGAGGGCTGGTCTGCAGCTCCTGAGAAACTCCATGGTTAGAAGTGAGTGACTGACAGGTGCTGATTTTTAAACTAGGTGAGCTGGAAGAATTGGGGAGATCAGAACTTTTGGACTTTGCTGTTAAGTTTAGTGGCTGTGAAGATTCCTGGAAAAGATAAAGAAGAGAAAGAGAGGAGACTGCATCCCCACTAAGGTATGAGAGCCAAAAAATAAAACAGTTCAGGAGTTTCACCTGGATCTGCAGGTGCCCTGAGCTTGCAGGTCTCTTCACCGCTGAAGGAGAGGGGCTGTGCAGCAGCTGCATGGGGTACTCCACTATAGATAATACAGAAACAGAAGGATTTTGGGTAGAGAACAAAACTGTAACTCAAATTTATATCCTGTAACAACTCTCAAGGAAATGACATTTCTGTATGAAGAACTGGAAAACTGAAAATCAGGCTCTAAAA